CATCTGCACAGCTATAGAAGAGCAATATTCTCAATAGCAGTAATTGCAAGAGGGATCTTGGAATCCGAGTGGACAATCACTTCAATGTGAGCCAGCAGTTGTGTGGCAGCTGTCAATAGAGCCAAGGCAGTGGTGGGCTGCAGTAACAGAGGGATAGAATCAAGATCACGTGAAGCATTAGTATCGCTTTATAAAATCTTAGTAAGGCCACATTTGCAATATTGCATCCAGTTTTAGTCACCGTGATATAAAAAAGATTTTGAGACACTGGGAAAGATGCACAGAAAAGAGCAACAAAGATAGAGGTGAGCGGAGGCTAAAATATCCGATGAGCGGATTCTAGGTTGGATATATATATATATATATATATATATATAAATCCAACCTAGAATTAGGAAGAAATTGTCAGTGACAACAATTAATCAGTGAAACAAATTGCCTCCATAACCTGTGGTTGTTCCATCAGTGGAGGCTTTTAAGAGGAGATTGGAGAGCCATTTGACTGGGATGATATAGGTTCTCCTGCTTGGAGAGTTGGTCCCTTCCAACTCTTACTCTGTAATTCTGTAAGAACTTCATGAACATTTAGGGCTCAGCATGTAGCTAATCTCCAGAAGCTTAAGTAGCTTCACATTTCACTCTTTTACTTGGCTCTGTTGCAAAGATAGGTTGCTGGGAGTCTAAAACAACTTGATAGCATATAATCAGTGACAACATCTTGCCAACGCCTTAAGCAGAGACGGGACAAGCGTGTTTTTTCGCCTCCGGTCGGGAGATGGCGGTCACTTCTGCGCCTACAAAGCCGTCAATACAGTAGCTGCATCTGTGGTTGATCCTTAAAGGAGTTAAAACCATCAAGTACTGTATTGCTAGAAAGGATTGAGGAAGAAGAGAAGCACAGAGGAACTTCCTGTACCGGATCCCGTATGGGTGGAAGGTGGCTTGCAGAGCGGCTTTTGGGCTCTTCCAAAAGTTGAAGCATCAGCTGGAAGGTGAGTTGAGGGCAAGTTGGAGGAGAGGCCAGAAGCAAGTTGGGCTATTTGGTTTGGATGCTGCCAACCGATGCACATTTATGATGGTCACAACATCCCACCATCATGATCCCCATTTTTGACCTTCCCAGCTTGTTTCTCATAGGCAAAGTTAGTGAGGATGATGACGGCAAGAAATTGCAAGTGACAGTCATGTGAAATTGCCTTTAACAACCCACAGTGGTTTTCTTTACAACTCCACAGGAACAGATGTAAGTTGGCAGTTAATGTGACATCATGCTTTATGATCGGACTGCTTAGTGACACAGATGCCAGTCCCAAATGTGGGGATGTCACCCGAGGAATTGTGGACAGGAGGACAGTATTTTCTTATCTGGAGCTGAGGACTTCCATCGGTATAACTGGTGTTTTAAATTTTGCAGAGGCTTTAGGCATCATTTCATCAGTTAAAGCCCCCACATCTCTAAATTTAGCTGAGAAGGTTTAATTGTAACCATTTTGGGACATTTTTCAGGCTGAAAACATGGATTTTTCACATACATACATTTGTAGGTGTAAATGTAATTCTCTCTGCAGTTGGATAATCTATCCCCAGTGCTTCTAGATATTCAGTCATGTGAAAAACAGAGTACACCCTCTTTGAGTTGTATGGTTTTATGTATCAGGACATACTAAAAATCATCTGGTCTGTACACTCTTAAAAGTAGGTAAATATAACTTCAGATGACATATTACATCACGTCATCATCAAAGGTGGGTTTGCTAACGGTTCATGCACACGCACCACTTAAAATTAGAGATCAGACATAGAAGACCCAGGCCTTCGCAGATGATATGGCCTTTATCTTGGAAGACCCTTTAAAATCAGGCATATCCTTATGTTCTGTCCCCAATCACACGCACATGCACACACACCAACAGACGTTCAAGAGTTAAAGACCAAACCAGCCGGCAAAATCCTTTTCCGTAAGATAACGGAACTTGGCAACAACCTAGTGGCTGCCTGCCAAGAGTTTATTATTTACGAAGAGGAGAGATAACTTCTCCCCACTTCTGATACATCAAAAGAAACAGCTCAATAATTACGGAGGTAATCAAGTCCAGAGATAATCCAGCTAAATCTTATAGCAAAAGTCCGACAATGCAGAATGGCGTGGAAGCTTTCAGCTTTGTTCGTCACAAGGTTTGACTGGCCACAACACTCCTTTTTATATCCTGTGGGGTGTGGTCCAGTGACTCAGCCTAATCTCGGGCACACCTTTTCTTCTGTCGCGCACGCTTATCTCTGCGACGCTGGCGTGGATCCAGCAAAGACTCATTACCCTCATCACTGTCCATCTGTGGCTGCGTGGACGTGCTTGGGGCCGGCCCTATCTCTTGCCCTTCGGCGGACACCGAAGGCATTGCCAGAGAGGAGGGTCCTGGAGAGGGAGGCCTTGCCAACTCCTCTTCTTCACTCTCGGAGTCCTCTCCTGCCGATGATACAGGCTCAGGTAATGGAGCCACAACACCTTACTGGAAAAAATTGAGGAATTTGGGGCTGTAGCAGGTCTGTTAATCAATAAAAAGAAGATGAATATTTTAACTAAGAATATCTCAGAGAAAGGCAAGCAGGTTCTAGAGGAAGCAACAGGACTTAGAGTAGTTAGTAAAGTCAAGTACCTGGGAATTTGGTTAACATGTAGATGCTCGAGCATCCAGGAGGATAATTATACTAAAATACTAACTCAGGTAAGGAAAGATCTTGATAAGTGGGGTAAAATTCAATTATCACTCTTGGGAAGGGTAGCAACAATAAAATCTTATGTTCTACCAACATTTAATTTTCTTTTTCAAACAGCTCCAGCGAATCTGTCAAATAAATTTTTTACAGATCTAAACCAGGTAGTAACCAAATTTGTATGGCAAGGGAAAAAACCCCGTATTAAAAAGAAAATGATGAGGAGACAAAAGAAAGAGAGGGTCTTGGTTTACCATGCTGGGAGAATTATTATTTAGCCGCCTTACTAGTTTGGGTTAAAGAATGGATTATTTTAAACAACAAGCGTCTTCTTAGGATAGAAGGCCACGATTTGCAACAAGGTTGGCATGCGGCACTCCAGCAGGACAATGCCCCCCAAAGTAAATGGTTCACTCGGCACTATATAAGGAATATTTTAATTCGGAGTTGGGAGAAGTTTAGTAAAAAATATTATACCAAAGTACCTTGTTAGATATCACCTCTAGAAGCTTTGACCTATCCTATACTATTTAATTATTTTCTGTATGACCAAAAACGGTCTCTTGCATTGTTGCAGAGGAATTTTTGCCCACTCTTCTTTACAACATTGTTTCAGTTCATTGAGGTTTGTGGGCATTTATTTATGCCCACCTCTCGAGAGGTCCCACCACAGCATTTCAATTGGGGTGAAGTCTGGACTTTGCTATTGCAAACCTTGATTCTTTTCTTTTTCAGCCATTCTGTGGCTGTTGAGCTTGGGATCATTGGCATGGAAACAAAAAAAATGGGATTTCTTCTTTGCTCTACCAGCGTAAGACTAGCGTAAAGCTAGTGCTGATAGAGCAAAGAAGACATCTGATCTCTTGTTTCAATGACAATCCTTTCGTCCCCAGCCAGTGTAAATGACGACAAAATCTTCTTAGATCTCTTCACCAGCATAAAACTAGTGCCGGTGTAGCTAAGAAGAAATCATAGTAGTTTATGGTGATTGGAAAGAAAAGGATTGCAACGAAAGCAAAATAGGCCTGATTTCTTCTTAGCCCCACTAGCACTAGCTGTACATTAGTGTTGTGCTGGTAGAGCAAAGAAGAAATCTCATCTCTTTTGCTTCCATGGCAATCCTTTCCTCCTCAGCCAGGGTAAATCACTAATGCTGGCTGGAGTGAAAGGATTGCCATGGAAAGAAAAGAGTTTATCTTTCTTCTTCTTGATTGTGCCACGTGGCCCAGCTGACTTCCTGAGCTCGTCAGAAATTTCCTAAGTGAATGGTGATGGGGGAGTGGGGTTGGGGAGGAATGCATAGTATATTGCAAAGCAGGCCAACATACTGGGGTCTGGGGATTGTGAGGACTGAGTGGGCAAGATGGAAGGGAAATAGATGGGTGGGTATGCTGCAGCATCTCTGCAGTGAAGGAGTCAAGGACTCCCGGGGTGGGAGGCGCTGCAATAATTAAACTTTGGAGCAGATTCGTATTTAGCATTTGGGGGAGTGTTGTAACTTCAGAAATTCGTTGAATGGCCAGTCGTACCTAAAGGATTACCTGTACTTCTTTTTTTCACATCTTCTGCAACCTTTTCATAAAGAATAAAACTTACACTTTCTTTTTAATCTTACAGACAAAGATGATGCCAATATAAGCACACTGGACAACTGAGAATAACAAGCAACACTGAAAAGCAAAGTAAATTGAAGCAGAAATAAATATTTTCTATTTCCTTCAGAAAGCTGCAGAATTCATCTACTTCATCAGCTGGTAAGAGACAGAAAAGAGAAAATCATGAAGAGATTTGCAGCTGGAAAAAGTAGATTATATAGAATTTAAGAATACGTTACTCGAAAAGGTTATAGGAGATCATTTTTCCGTTCAGAAAAAGAGGGAAATATCTGGAAGCCAATGAGGAAGAAAATATCAATTGGATAGTCACATATGGCAGCCAGTAATGCAGGCACCAACAAAATAAGGAATCACACATATTTTTGACCTCCTCAAGAATGTCAGTGATGAAAAAGATCCATAGATGTGCCTATTGTGGGAAAAGTAAAGAGTTCAAATCACAAGAGGATCCACACTGAACAAAAGCCATATAAATACTCTGAATATGGCAAAACTTTAGTCAGAATAGCTCCCTTGCAATTCATAGAAGGATCCTCATAGTAGAGATGCCCTACAACTGCTCCCAATGTGGTAAATGCTTTTGCAAGTATGGCAACTTTGTGATACATCAGAGGACTCACACCAGAGAGAAACCATATGAGTGTCCAGATTGTGGGAAAAGTTTCACAGCAGATTCCCACCTGGTGAAACACCAGAGGACTCACACAGGAGAGAAACCCTTTGAATGTCCTGATTATGGGAGAAGTTTCAGACAGAATTCCCACCTCATTATCCACCAGAGGACTCACACCAGGGAGAAACCATATGAGTGTCCAGATTGTGGGAAACATTTCAGAGGAAATTCCCACCTGGTGATACACCAGAGGACTCACACAGGAGAGAAACCCTTTGAATGTCCTGAGTGTGGGAAAAGTTTCAGTCATAAATCCAACCTGGTGAACCACCAGAAGACTCACACAGGGGAGAAACCCTTTGAATGTCCTGATTGTGGGAAAGGTTTCAGTCTTAATTCCAGTCTGGTGAACCACCAGAGGACTCACACAGGGGAGAAACCCTTTGAATGTCCTGATTGTGGGAAAGGTTTCAGTGAGAATTCCAGCCTGGTGATACACCAGAGGACTCACACAGGGGAGAAACCCTTTGAATGTCCTGAGTGTGGGAAAAGTTTCAGTCATAAATCCAACCTGGTGAACCACCAGAAGACTCACACAGGAGAGAAACCCTTTGAATGTCCTGATTGTGGGAAAAGTTTCAGTCACAATTCCAGCCTGGTGAACCACCAGAAGACTCACACAGGAGAGAAACCCTTTGAATGTCCTGATTGTGGGAAAAGATTCAGAAACAGTTCCAGCCTGGTGATACACCAGAAGACTCACACAGGAGAGAAACCCTTTGAATGTCCTGATTGTGGGAAAAGATTCAGTTGGAATTCCAGCCTGGTGATACACCAGAGGACTCACATAGGAGAGAAACCCTTTGAATGTCCTGATTGTGGGAAAAGTTTCAGTTGCAATTCCAGCCTGGTGATACACCAGAGGACTCACACAGGAGAGAAAGCCTTTGAATGTCCTGATTGTGGGAAAAACTTCAGTCTCAATTCCCGTCTGCTGAAACACCAAAAGATTCACACAGGAGACAAACCACACAAGTGTCCAGAATGTGGGAAAAGTTTCAGTTACCGTTTTAACCTGATGAGCCACCAGAGGATTCACACAGGAGAGAAACCCTTTGAATGTCCTGAGTGTGGGAAAAGTTTCAGTCACAATTCCAGCCTGGTGAGCCACCAGAGGACTCACACAGGAGAGAAACCCTTTGAATGTCCTGAGTGTGGGAAATGTTTCAGTCACAATTCCCACCTGGTGAGCCACCAGAGGATTCACACAGGAGAAAAACCTTTTGAATGTCCTGATTGTGGGAGACGTTTCAGTCGGAATTCCCACCTGGTGGGCCACCAGAGGATTCACACAGGAGAAAAACCTTTTGAATGTCCTGATTGTGGGAAAAAATTCACTCTCAATTCCAACCTGCTGATACACCAGAGGACACACACAAGAGGGAAACCATACAAGTGTACAGATTGTGGGAAAAGTTTCAGTCAGAACAGCAATCTAGTGAGCCACCAGAGGACTCACACAGGAGAAAAACCCTTTGAATGTCCTGAGTGTGGGAAAAGTTTCAGTCAGAATTCCCACCTCATTATCCACCAGAGGACTCACACAGGAGAAAAACCCTTTGAATGTCCTGAGTGTGGGAAAAGTTTCAGACAGAATTCCCACCTCATTATCCACCAGAGGACTCACACAGGAGAGAAACCATATGAGTGTCCAGACCAGCAGAGTCAAACTATTTGATTGAGGGGCGCATCAGGATTGTGGTTGATCTTGTGGGTGGGCCTGGTGGGGTGATGTCACATGGCCAGCTCGACATCTTTTGTGTCATGGGGCGCCTGTGGTGGCCCAGGCAGGTCTGGGGAGATCCATTGTCTCCAGCAGAGGAAGGCGAGACAATGGTAAGTGCCAAAAACCTTGTTCTCTCCATCCCTCTCAGGCCACACAAAGGACCCCCGGGCAACAGCACAGGCTGCCCAGAGCCCTTGGAGCGTAAGCGCCCAGCCTGGCCCTCAAGCTCCCATTGCACTGGGACCCCACAGCCAAGCCCTGCTTCCCCCAGTGGGTGCCCGGCTGCGCTTACCTCCTCCTCAAGGCTGCTGCTATGCTCGCTGTCCTTGGGCATGTTGCTCATGGTGTATGCAGGAGGGCAAAGTGTGTGTGTCAGAGGGAAGGCCACTCCTTCTCCATGCGAGGAGCCCCAACTTTATAACTAAAGCATCCTCAGCAATAGGAAGGGAGGTTACCAGGAGAGGTCAGGAGGAGGGGACAAGGGGATAGCGAAAGGGCAGAAGGGCAGCTGGTGGCCAAGTACTAAGGTAGGATTTTCCTCAGAAGCTGACTCCCTCTTATTATAATCAGCAGCCGTTAAATGAATGTGTAAGTTGTTAAGCGGAACATTGGCTACCTCAGGGTTGGGGGAAGGTCTTAAGAGGCCTAGCGCAGGATATTTGATAAAGTTGTGTTAGGAAATGACTATTACCTAACCTGTTGGGTTGGCAATATATAAACCATCAATGTAGCTTTAAGACTGCTGTATTGCATCATACTGTGTCCTGATTGGTTAGCTCTGTAGCCAATGTCCTTAAGAGGGAGCTAAAAACATGGTTTGTTCTCTTTGCTGTTCTTGCTCTCTGATATCTCTGTATGCTACTGTTTGCAAATCCAGAAGAACTGTTTATTGTAAATGACCACGACGACTGGTAAGAAGACTTTGTTATTGGATTATCCCTGGACTGTCTTTTTGGCTATCTCCTGCTTTATATGTGTATGACCTGGACTGTTTATTGAACTGTGCCTTATTATTTCCTGAAAGTAAACACAACTCAGTGTATCTGTGTGTTGACTATGTTTATTCGTAACTACTCTCAATCGCTTTCATGTGTACACCCTTGCTATTCAAGGGTTACTCTGCGAATTCCTTAACAAGATGACCACCATTTACTTCTTGGTAAGGGAAGCATGCAGTGGGATACCTCAAGGCTCAGTCTTGGGCCCAATAATGTTCAACATCTTGATAAATGATCTAGATGAGGGATAGAAGGGGAATTATCAAATTTACTGATGACACCAGAGCTAATACTTTCAAAGGATCTTGACAGACTTGAGAATTGGGCAACAGTATGAATGGATTTCCAGAGGAAAAATTGCAGACTACAGGAACCGTGTTCACGTTTAAAATTTGGAATTAACCACAGATATATTTTTTCAACTTCCAAAATACCTGAATAGCTTATAATTAAGCAAACTTTTCAAATTGTTATTTCCTCCCAGGGTTACCTTCGTTTTTCCATTACCTGATTTGGGAGTCGGGGTGGGGAGACCGTATCACGTTGTTTTTTTTTAAAAGAATACAGAGTTAGTTTTCTTTTCTCTGCTTTAGACTTTAGAATTGCTTTGTCTGTTTTAAACGTATAATCAATTGCGAAAGTTATTTTCAAATTTCCCACAACTATGATTGATATTTTGTTAACAGTGAGAGAAAGTAGTGCCTAAATTTAGGATAACTTAGAATAGGCAACACAGAGAAGTAGTGGTAATTATATAGTTGAGTACTACCTGTATTGCACTTTACTAAAGATAAAGGTTTCCCTTGTTCAGTCATTTCTGACTCTGGGGGATGATGCTCATCTCTGTATTTTAGCCGAGGGAGCCAATGTTGTCTGAAGATGCTTCCGTGGCCTTGTGGCCAGTATGACTATATGCTGTTATGCACGGAATACTACCTTCCCACCAAAGTGGTACCTATTTATCTACTCACATTTGCAAGCTTTTGAACTCTTCAAAAGATGGACAGGAGCTGGAGCAAGTAACAGGAGCTCAACCTGTCATGTGGTGCTTGGATTTCAAACCCAGGCTGACAACTTTCCAACTGACAAACTCAGTTGTTGTGATACACAACAATCCTTAAACCAAGGATGTGCAAATACACAATGCCCAAACCTTGTCAGGTGTGTCAGAAGGGACTCTTGCTGTAGGAAAACACAGTCTTTTTCCACCAGTCAAAATTTCAGGTAGTCCTTGACTTACGACCACAATTGAGCCCAAAAGTTGCATTGTTAAGTGAGTTATACCCCATCTTATGACCTTCCTTGCCACAGTGAATCATTGCAGTTGATAATTAGTAATACAGTTGTTAAGTGAATGTGGCTTCCCCATTGATTTTGCTTGTCAAATGGTTGCAAAAGGGGATCACCTGACCTTGAGAAACAGCAACGGACATAAGTATGAACCAGTTGTCAAGCATCTGGATTTTGATCAATGTTCATAGGGATGCTACCAAGGTTGTAAGTGTGAAAAATGGTCATAACTCACTTTTTTCAGCATCATCGTAACTTTGAACAGTCAGTAAATGAACTTGTAAGTGGAGGACTGCCTGTATTAGTTTAGTTCCTTTCCAGATATACTGTTAAGATCTTAACACTTGGGTAGCTTTTCAATGACCAGGATTAAACCAACATTGGAAATGCAGGTAATCCTCGATTTACAACTGTAATCTAGCCTGCAATTACAATCGTAATCATGATGGTCATTAATGGGTCACCACACAATGTGCCCAATTCTACAACCTATTTGGTGGCAGTTGTTAAGCGCATGCAACAATTGTAAAACAAACAGCCTGACTAGATGGCTCAGTGGCTAAAACACTGAGCTTGTCGATTAGAAAGGTCGGCAGCTCGGTGGTTCAAATCCCTAGTATAGATCTCCTGCATGAGCAGGGGGTTGGACTAGATGACCTCCAGGGTCCCTTCCAACTCTGTTACTGTTACTGAGTGGTCAGTGGGGCACTTGAGTTTACTTCTGCATCCCCCTTTTTCTGGTGACTCATAGATTCCCTACCCAGTTGATTCAATTTCATTCAAACACGGCAGTTGTTAAGTGAATGCTACAATCATTAAGCAAACCCATTGTTCACTAGGGATATAAGCATGGGTTTCTGGCAAAAATGTAAATCATGGTCATGTGACTGCAGGATGCTATGAAAGGCCAAAACTGCAGGCTGGTTGCCAAGCACCCAAAATGTCATGTGACCCTGGGTGGAGCCCCTCCCCCCCAGTCCTCAGAAGTTCAAATCTGGGTCATAAGTTGTTTTTTGAATGGTTGCTAAATGGCTGGTCGTAAGACAAGGACTATCTGTAATTCACAGACTTGGTCTTGTCGAAGTTCTGTGTCTATCATCTGCACAGCTATAGAAGAGCAATATTGTCAATAATCAGTAATTGCAAGAGGGATCTTGGAATCCGAATGGACAATCACTTCAATGTGAGCCAGCAGTTGTGTGGCAGCTGTCAATAGAGCCAAGGCAGTGGTGGGCTGCAGTAACAGAGGGATAGAATCAAGATCACGTGAAGTATTAGTATCGCTTTATAAAACCTTAGTAAGGCCACGTTTGCAATATTGCATCCAGTTTTAGTCACCGTGATATAAAAAAGATTTTGAGACATCGTGCACAGAAAAGAGCAAGAAAGATAGAGGGGACCGGAGGCTAAAATATCCGATGAGCGGGTGCAGAAACTGGGTATGTGTAATTTAATGCAGAGAACGGCTAAGGGTGACATGATAGCAATCTTTCAATAGGTTTTTTTTTTTTGAAAAGATTTTTTATTTTTGTTTTTCATCAACATATTTAAATGTACAGTCTTTTATCCATCCTTATGCATTATTCATTTATCTTATTCTTTTAACTTCCATTAGCTAGTTAATTAATTGTTCAGGTCTGCTCTTTTACCATTTCGTTCCTTTGTTTTAATACCTTTCCTCTTTCTCTTCCCTTCTTTCTCCTCTTCTATCTCTTTCTACTTTCCTCATTCATCCTCTCCTTCCCTTTTCTACTTCCTCTCCTCTTTCCCCTCTCCTCTCTTCTTCCTCCCTTTTTTACCCTCTCTCCTACTCTTCTTTCCCCTTCTTTGTTCCTCTCCTTTTCCCGTTCTTCTTTTCTTCTCTTCCCACCTCCCAACTCCCCTCCTTCCCCCTCTCTACTCCTCACCCCTTTTCCACTCCCTTGTTTCCTTTTTCAATTCAATCTGAGATGGTATTCGAGCATGTTGCAATATTTTCAGGATCAGACTCAATAAAGATAATAGGAGTTAGAGCTTTAGATATATTTCTTTTTAATTATGATAGGCATTCTATATTCACTGAATATTCAAGATAGAAGCAACGAGAATGGTGAGGGTGGCTCCTTATATATACAAGGGGTGGAGCTAGGAATGGGAGTGGTAAGTTATGAATACATTAAAGTCCAAAGAATAAGTTAACCTCTGATGTTCCATATATACATTATTTACACATTGGAGAATAAGGCATTTACATCTGACAAATCCCCCTCTAAATGCCGGTTCGTTACACAACACCAATTACATTCTGATTCAGGACAATATGATACATATAATTTAGAAGTTAAATATTTGTGTTGTTTAGAAGGTAAGGGTTTTGTTAATATGTCAGCTAATTGTTCAGAAGTATCGCAATGTATTGCTTTAATGAATCCGTCTTGAGACAGTTGTCTCACATGCTTAAACTTTATATCAATATGCCTGGACCTTTGTCCAATTGCATCGGATCTGGATATTTCAATGGCCGCTTTATTGTCTTCATGCATAATAAATGGTAAAGTGGGTTTCTTCCAAACATCAGTGATCAGATCATTGAACCATACAAGGTTATTTGCAGCCTTGGACAAACAAACATATTCCGCTTCTGTAGTAGAAGTGGCTACTAGTTCTTGTTTACCAGTATACCAGTAAACTGGACAATCATTCAATAGAAAAACATAACCAGAAGTACTCTTTCTGCATGATGTATCACCAGCCCAATCTGCATCAGCATAACAAGTAATTTTTGGTTCTCTGTCATTATTGGGTTCCAGCATTAAACAAAAATCTAATGTACCCTTCAGATATCTTAGAATTCTTTTGACAGCTTCCCAATGATACAAGGTTGGTTTACTAACATATCTTGACAATAGATTGAGAGGTAATGCAATATCTGGCCTAGTCCAATTAGATATATAAAGGAGTGAACCTATAACTGATCTGTAAAATGTGTTGTCTTTAAACTCAGGGGAAGATTCATCAGTGTTTCTAAGAAAATCAGTTTGCATAGGGGTGTCACAGGTTTTGGCATTATTTAAGTTACATTTGTTTAGGAGTTCGATGATTTTATCTTTCTGTGTAAGTTTGAATCCCCTTTTAGTTTTGTTAATTTGCACACCAAGGTATTTATTCACTTTACCCAGAGATTTCAGTGAGAAGTGTTCATTCAACTTATTTACAAAGATTTCCCTGCTCTCTTTATGCTTCCCAATGTATAAAATATCGTCCACGTAAATTAATACAAATTCAATATGATCATTACTCTTTTTTACAAAGAAACAATTATCAGCAGTGGTGGCGTTGAAATCCATGGTCTTAAGTACTTTTACCAAGCAATCGTACCATCTTTTGCCGGATTGCTTTAATCCGTACAGACTCTTATTTAATAACCAAATTTCGTTCTTATTAGTGTATTGACTGTGTGGTGCTCTTACATATATTTCCTTATCTAATTTTGCATGTAAGTATGCGGTCTGTATGTCATATTGGAATACGTCCAGATTGAGTGCAGATGCTACTACAAGGGCTGTTTTGACACTCTCTGTTCTCACTGTGGGTGAATATGTATCAGTATAGTCTTCTGGATATTTTTGTGCATAGCCTTGTGCAACTAGTCTAGCCTTGTATAAGGTATTGCCTCCTTCTAAGTTCTTAATTTTATAAATCCACCTGGTACCTATAATTGTTTTATCCTTAGGTGCGATCGCAGGTGTGAATACATTTAATCCTTGTAAACTTT